AGCTAAATTGGTTGTAAGGCCTTTTCAAATGCCATGATAAAGAGCAGCCTTTAAATAGGCTAGAAGCCCACAACTGAACCTGTCTGAACAGTGCAGGACTTCACCTTAAAGGGCCCTTATCCCACTTTTATTATTTTTTTCCTCGCGGTACCACTTATGAACTTTGTGTAGGTTTTTGTACCAGAAATGTAATTAATTAAAAGAGTTACTGTTTACATCACTCTCTTCCAACCTCTCTTTATCCATCAGAATTAAACAGGGTGTTTTGTTACTGTGCCTTTAAAACTGAAATATGTAAATGAGATGTGTTCTGATTGGTTGCCCTGTGTTGTATCTCGTTCAAAAAGCAGTCCTGGCCAAAACACTGTTTGTTGAATTCAGACTGAGTGGGTGGCGCTAAGGCTGAATGATTTGGGGAAAATACCTAATTTTGATTTTTCCAACTAAATATTGCAACTGCAATTTAAATTGCAATTATTTTTTATAAACTGAGGTTCAAGCCTGAATTTTTTGGCCAAGAAGACCAGAATATTCATGATCTCTGAATGTCGTTTGCCAAACTGCCAGTAAGTCGTGGTTGTGATGTTGCAACACATGAAGGTTTGGTTGCCTCTGATCGGTTCAACTCGTCTACAGGCTGTACTACTAGGTTCAATTTCCTCTTTTAAAATTTAAGACCACTCAAAGCCGCATTTGCATGGTGAAATGGTTCTTCAGATTGATGGAGAATGTGTTGTATATGGTTCTATATAGTAAGTTTGAGATCAGAGCAATAGCAGAACACTTTTTAGTGCTATATAGAACCATATACAACTCTCTATCAATCAAACCATTTCACCATGCAAAGAACCCCTTAAACATGCAAATGCATCTTTGTGTTTATGGTTCTGTATAGAACCACTGTCTTCACTAAAGACATCTTTTTAAGAACCTTGAAGAACCATAGTATAGGCTATAGTTAAAAAAATTGCAGCTCTTGCAATATGATGTGTTGGTTTTTGTGACATCACAAAAACAGCAAAAAAAAAAAAATGCTGTTTTTGCAGCTGCACTGTGTGGACTGCAGAGTGATTGTCAATTTCTAAACATAACAATATTTACTTACATCAAATTCTTATTTTAAAAAAAGGGTGAAATTAAATTTTCAGTGGTATGGGCCCTTTAAGGCACGCCTCTCAAACTGGCCTCCTGGAACGCTGAGGACATGTGCAGGTTTGTTTTTCTCTGCTGCAATACACATTATTGTTTTTTGTAGATTTATTACGGAACAGAGTTAAATCATATGAAGTCCCCCCTCTTTGTCTGTTTTCCCCTCATGACTTCTTTATTGGTCATTTGCGGTCTTCGTTGTGACGGCCTGTGATGTAACTAATTGAGCCAAAGGCCAAACCACATTAGAGGAAATAAAGGGACGTTTCCAAAGTCCTGTTTTCTGAGGTAAATGGAGAAGGAAACAGGGTGACGGTGACAGTAGTCATAGCGAGATGTTGGTAGTAAACAGTCTTTCCTTTTTTTTCTGTCCCCCCACCCCCCCCCTTTCTTTCTCTTCTCTCGCTCCCTTTTTCTCCATTTCTATCTCCATTACTGCTTTAGACTTTTTTTCTGCACTCGCTCTTTTCTTCTCTCTCTTTCTTCTTGCTCACTCTCTCTCGCTCTGCTCTTTGTCAGATTGAGGATTTCAGCTCTCACTTTTCTCTGTTTTTCCCTCCCAGCGAGTGTTTGTGTTAGTGTGTAGCGTTAGTCGTTTGCCTTTAATGCAGGCCTCGTAATGGCAGGTCATGTTGCTGTAAATCGTGTTTCAGCTCTGAAGTCGTGACCCTGCTGCTTCTCACTGTTACAGCAGTGACGTCTGTGTGTATGGAGAGAGAAAACGTGACTAAAACATTCCTCTTCTCTTCCGAAAGCTCTTAGCTTGACGTACGCCGGACAGCTAGAGGATGTAAGAGCTAATTCATCATCCTGTCTGTACCCTGCACATCAGATCCACTGCATTTTATTTATCATGTGAAACAGGGTTTGGTCCATAGAGGAAAAAGCATATAAGTTGCACAATATGGATAAAATACTAGCACTGTGATTATTTTGCTACATTATTTTGATACGCCTTGAAGTACATTAACATCAGTGTGATGGTGAATGAATACCTTGATTCATCCAAACATTCAGTCCCATTTGCATTTTGTAGCTTTCTGCTGTATCAGTATTACAAATGGAAACCGTAGACAAGGAAGCAAACAGGGTGGTAGCTTGTGAGTTGATGCTTAATTTTTGTCAAAAAAACAACGCAGTTTAGTCAAAGTTTTGATTGTTGTACAATGCCATATTTAATTTGGGGACTATAATTAATCAAATAAGAAACAAAAGCATTGTACATGTCATCCAAACTTCATTGCCCCAGAGTTTGTGGTCACTTAGCTCAACCTGAGGCCTTCTGTGAAGTTGTTTCACCTGAGGCGTTCTTAAACCGGAGAAGATAAACATGCTTCTAGTTAGAAACTTTGCTCATTGTCAGAAGCCATCTTTGCTCTTGATATGGATTGGCTGTTCTTGCTAAAGGTTTAAAAAATTTTGTATTTTCTCCATGTGAATGGCTTTTTACTAAGCAGCTAAAGATTAACCATATGCAGTAGCCTGAAAGTGACTGTTAATGCAGCTATGTTTTTTTTTTTAACTGTTGTAATTACAGGGTAAAAATCTTTTAAGCCCCAGTTTGTGGAGGTGTGGCAAGCTAATTTAACTTTTAATTCTATTACTCTTGATATCAGGGATTTACAAAAAAATGTACACTTGTGAAATATCAAAATTGATATCGAAAATGACATTTTTACTAGTAAGAACTAAATTTTCACTACTAAAATAAATTCTTATTAGTAAAAATTTGGAAAAAATATACTAGTGGAAATTAAATTTTCACGCAAGCCATTACATGCCTGTAAGGCTGCAGCACGGCTTTATCAGTTTCTCAAGCACGATAACGAGTGGGGAAAAATTTCTACCTTGCGCTGTACAAAAGGTTCTAAAGCCAAAGAACATATCAGAGCTGATTCAGGACTAACACTACACATCTAAAAGAAAACTGATCACAAGACAGATGGAATTACTTTTTTCTCATCTTAAGCTCCAGACAGTGTTTTTTTAACTGACTTGACCGACACTTGTGATAGATGGAGACTATTGGCGATAAGCCTCACTTCCGGTGTGCTGTGTCAAAGGAGCCTGAACTGATGACGCAGACTCGGATGTTCTTTATTGATGCATTGTCTCTACATGCTCAATGAAACTGGACTTGAGTATTACCATCACAAAGATAGACCATAAGGTCTGGGAGAGATTTGCATTAGGTGGGAACAGCATCTGTCTCTGAGCCTCTGGGTCTCCTTTATCATACTGTCAACTTAAAGCGCTCTAAGTGTTAATGCTAAATACTTTGGGGAAATGAAGACAGGAAAGGCAAAGAGATCCTTTTGCTGCACTTACACCACCATCAAAAGCTTGGTGACACTTTGCCGCCTTTTGAATTTTTCAGAGTAATGCTTGATTTGTGCCTGTTACTTGGAAATGTTTATCAAAAAGCTTAGTATGAAGAGCAGGTTTTGCCTACGTAGTGATTTAATTTGGATTATTTTCCAAACAGTTGTTAAAGGTTATTGAAACTCTTTTGCATAGTTTAAGTGCTGCAACTTTTAGCCGATAATTAATTGTCATAAATAATTACAATAAACAACCCAATTGTGTTTTCTTGTTCTTTGTTTGCAACTATTAAAATACATGCCCAAAGTAGAAAATTGCCTGATTAGCCACCTTACTTGCTAGCTGTGTTTTACTAAGTAGCTAACACTGGTTTTAAATCAGTACTGCGCGCACACTCGCACAAACCTCTACAGTTACAGAGAATTATATGTAGAGTCAAGCATAGTAGTGACATCTTCATGAGACGTGCAACGCTATAATACATTCAGTTTAACTCTTGTTGCCCAACAGTGCGTGGTTCGCTGTTTTTGCTCATAAAACCGACAAAACGCTCTCGTGGCAGAGCGTGCACTGACATCATGAATAGGCTGAGAGCATTTACCGCTTTCTTTTGTTTACATTTCTGTGTGTGTGTGTGTGTGTGTGTGTGTGTGTGTGTGTGTGTGTGTGTGTGTGTGTGTGTGTGTGTGTGTGTGGAGTCAATAAAGCATATCTGAGTCTGCACACCCAATTCACTTTTTGTTTGTTGCAGCAGAATATGACTGAAATCTAACAACTGTGGAGAATGATTGCAATCTGCATAAATAATTGCATTTGTATCCTATAGTTGCAATTAGGCGATTATGTAATTGTGACAGGCTGAGTGATGTGGGCTGGCTTCACCACAAGGAAATGAAATGTGGCATTAGGCCCAAGGTAGCACGGTCAATAAGGGTGGGTGATATAGCAAAAATATCACATCACAGTACTTAGACGTTTTCACGATACATGATATGTATCATGATATTGACACACTTTCATTAGTAGTGGCAGTTTAAAAAAAATAGCCATCAGAAGCTCTGGGTGCTGTGATTGTTTTCATACTGCACTGCACAAAATCTAATTAAACAGGACTAATTACACTCTTTTTATCATGCAGTTGGTCAGTGTTCTCCAAGTGCTAACAATTGGCACAATATGCTCAGAAAACCATATTGTTTATCATGGTAATGATAAAATGTCATCGTTTTGATCCTCTAGCTGTCATTAATATTTGTATGTGGTATTATTTAACTCTAAATAAACTTGCCTACAGTTCAGTTCCTCACTCTCGCAACTGTATTACTTTCATAGTAGTTACCTAATGATAAATTTGAGATGTGTACTTTGTAACCTTTTCATATTTGTAAGAGCATTAAAATCCAGTTAGTATGTCACCGACAGATTGGAAAGCTAGATGTCCCCAGCATTTTGGCCATCAGTATAAGTAAGAGTCTCTCTCTCTCCCTTTCTCTTTCTCTTTCTCTCCTTTCTTTCTTTCTTTTTTTCAGGTGTGGCAGACGGCGTGGGTGGATGGAGGGATTACGGTGTGGATCCGTCTCAGTTCTCGGCTACTCTGATGCGAACGTGCGAACGTCTGGTGAAGGAGGGCCGCTTCACCCCCACCAGCCCGGTGGGCATCCTCACCTCGGCCTACTACGAGCTTCTACAGAACAAAGTGCCCCTACTGGGTAAGAACACATAGTAACAAGAAGCAGCATATGGTGACTCACACACACACACGGCTTAGATTAATAAATAAAGAAAATGTCTGCAGGATGAGTCAGAGGGTGTGTGTGTGTGTGTGTGTGTGTGTGTGTGTGTGTGTGTGGTGATGCTGGACACTCCTTCTCTCCTGTACAAACCCTCTAAGCTATGATGTTCCACAGACCTGCTAGGAGAATTAGTGGTTGGTTTACATTGCGCATGGCCCTTAAAGGGCCCATGTCCTACATTTTTTTTTTTTCTTTATTTTTACTCCCAGAGGTTCACTTAGAACTTTTCTTTATATACCAAAACATCATAACTGCTGTCATAAAATTGCTGTGCTTTTTAAGACTGGTTATATGTAATGCTGTGTTCTGATTGGCTGTCCTGTGTTATGCCTCATTCAAAAACAGTCCAGTGCTTATAACTCGAGTGTAATTGGGTGGGGCTAAACTGTTGTGGACTGAATAGTTGGATATTTGCTACTGTATTGGTTTTCATGACATCACAAAAACGATAAATTAATAACAGGCCGTTTTTCCAACTAAGTTTCCATGTATGGACTGGGGCTAGTGAATGGGATGTTTTGAAAATTTCAGCACTGTTTGAAGATGCATCCAATTCTTATTTTAAACAAGTAATGGTTTTCCCCCAATTCCCGATCAACACATGTTTGGTGTTCTTTAGTTTAGAACCACCAGTTAGCATTATGGTTGACCTGTGGCATTAGAAGTAAGGGGGAATGTTGTGCAAATCATTTTTTATTTTGCTACACTGTTGCTTTAATACCTTCCTGACCAAAGTGAACTGGACAGAATGTCCCTCAGGGGCTGATGCAGCAGCGTCGCTTTGTCATAAAAACGAATAGCCTGAGCAACTGAAACTCTACTAGAGCGAAGACACGATATTCTTGGCTGGTCAGTGTGTGCACAGTAAGTTTATGGGGGGAAATCTGAGCTACATGAAGCAACACACCACTCGGTCGTTTTGAAGCCTCAGTAACTGACCTGATGTTTCCTCACCCTGCGAACAAAAATCTTTTAGACTGTCCTTTGATGCTGTGTTGGCCAAACACACTGACAGGCATTCCTCTTTTTCCTTTGATTTGAGACAGCCAGTGGTGAACAGTAACAAAGTACATGTAATTTGATATTGTACATAAATACTTTATAAGGATCTGGGCTTAAGATATTGTATGTATCACTGCTTTCTGCAGAAGGTATCGACACTCGTTACACTGAAGTGGGAAAAAACTGGATCCTTTAAAATATGTAAAAGAATGCGATGCATTTTGAAATTGAAGCAAACTTTTCGCGGCTCACCTTTATATATGATGTAGGATATATTAGGGTGTTTACAGTAATACAGAAGCTAGAAAGTTGGCTGTAGTCAACTTGAAATGTTGATAAACAGGGAAGTATTTTTTTTTTTCCTGCAACTGGTTCTTTAACAAAAATGGCTCATCTTAGTGACATACATAGTAATAATATAGCATTAAAATGGCTTGCAGTATGTTTACTTTTGATACTTAAACACATGTAAAAGCAAGTTCTTTTATACTTCTAATGGGCTCATAATAAGGCAAAAATACAAAAAAAAAAGAATGAAGTGTAAACATTTTAAAGGGAATTCTGCTGATTTTTCAACATTTCTGCATAGTTAAATGGTTCAGATTTAGACAGTGGTTTGGTGTGAAATGCTCAGTTCTAGAGAAACTTAGAGACGAAATTGTTCACAGTGGTGATGATAGGAACCAGATGTCCACCTCTAAAAGCTCCCTCACAGAAAGTTATTACATGAAATACACTGCCTGATGTCTGAGAAATTGTTTTACGATAATTTTGAGAAGATTTTGGCCTGAAATGTATTTTGCATGCAGGCCGTTGTGAGACAGTTGTCCCCCAAGAAAACGTTTTTTTTTGTTTGTTTGTTTTTTTCTTTTCCCGGATTTTCCACTATTTTCCCATCATCAACGTTCCATATAAATGCTTACACGTGTAGGTTCACTATTGGTTTTGGATAGTAATTAAATGTGGCTACGTTTATGTTGCAGTCATGGTGACCCTTGGTTCCTACCACCACCACTGTAAAGAAATCTGGGTCTGTAAGTTTCTTGTGCAATGAATGCGTCAAACCACTCTGAATAACTGTTTACATATTAACTATAGAGTAGAAAATTAAACATTTGAAAGACCTCCTTTAAGCTCTACCTGGTCAAAACAGTCCATATATGGCAAATAAGCTGCAAAAATAGCCCACTTTGAATGTAGTTTTTGTGTTGTCAGCACATTTACATGTATTCACCTGTTCAGCCTATAGCAGTTTATCACTGGCAGTTCATGCTGTAGGATTTTTTATTGGCTGCCCTGTATTGTGTCTCAATCAGAACAGAGCTCATTTACATTTAGAAGGCTGAAAGGCACAGTAACAAAAACATCTTGTTTTTTAATTGTAAAAGATTAAGAGAGTTAGAAAAATGTCATTTAAAAATGATGTACGGCTGTTGTTGGTACATAAACCCACACAAACACCATAACTGGACCCCACCACCAGAGATGGCAGTGCAGGTTCTGTTTCCAGAGCTGTTTCTGTCACCACTGAAATCCACCTTTCGTGTTTCGGTGGGTTTGGCATTTCAGACTCGTGGTTCACCTTTCGCATGAAACCGGACATCACATACTTTCTAGGGTGGCACGGCCATGTTGTTGTGCCCCTCTCAAAGTGACGCTTATACCATTTTGGGAATGCTTGCCTGATGCCCTAAAGGTCAGTAGGTGAGCGTTCTCAAGCAGGGTCACTTGGCCAAGGCCACCTTGTTGCGTGAGAGAGACTTATGATGCAGTCCAGTGTCAGCTGTGCCTGTTGCCTGTCCTTCTCAGGCTCAGTGATGGATGGCTGCAAATACACTTCAAGGACAATTAGTGGAAGAACATTTGGCTCTTTGATCATCAGACACATGATATCCAATGACCTTTCCTCTTCTTTCCTCTCTTGCTCTTTTTCTCTCCCTCCCTTCTCTGTCTTCCCCCCTCTCTCTCTTGGTCTCTCTACGCTCCTTTATTGTCTTTCTTTCCTTCTGGTTCTCTCTCTCTCTCTCTCTCTCTCTCTCTCTCTCTCTCTCTCTCTCTCTCTCTCTCTCTCTCTCTTTATAGGAAGCAGTACGGCCTGTATTGTGGTGCTGGACCGGAGGAGTCATCGGATACACACGTGTAACCTTGGCGACTCTGGTTTCTTGGTGGTCCGGGGTGGAGAGGTGGTCCACCGGTCAGATGAACAGCAGCACTACTTTAACACACCGTTCCAGCTGTCAATTGCTCCACCTGGGGCTGAGGGAGTGGTGCTGAGTGACAGGTGGGTGGAGCCTGGGGAACATGAGAGATGAATTATAAAGTCTCAGTCTTGACCATTGTTCCATTTGAATTGTTAATTCAGAATTAGAACAAACTACATAATCAAATCCACAGGAGCAGCCATTTACAATATAAGTGAAATCGCTTATGCATCACTTGTCTCAAACTGTGTGGAGGTGTTCAGTATCTTTAATAGACTGGATTATGTGGTTTCTGACACCTTATGGCCCTCTCCCTAGATAACTGTGGTCCCCTTGATCTCAGTTTTAGCAGTCATATCAAAGCAGGTACTAAATCAACTTTTTATCACCTTAAAAACAACAACATGACCAAAATGTTCTGACTAAGGTAGACCTGGAGAAACTCATCCACACCTTTATTTCTAACAGGATTGATTACTCTGTTGGTCTCCTAACTGAACTCCCAAAAAATACAATTAAACCACTTTAGCTGATTCAGAATGCAGCTACCAGAGTCTCACTAGGAGTAACAGAAGGGAACACATCACTTTCATTCTAATGAGAGCTCTGACACTGGATACTTTTAAATCCAGGCTGAAATCTTTCCTATTTGAGCAGGTTTCAGCTTACAACACTGTTTAGAACACTGTTAGAACACAGTCATGCTCTAAGAGAAAAGGGTCTTCCCCAAACTGTTCCCACAAAGTTGCAAGCATCTTGGTATGCTAAGGCATTTAGATTTCCCTTCACTGGAACCAAGGGGCCTGAAAAAACAACCCCATAGCTTTATCCCTCCTCCACCAAACTTTACTCTTGGCACAATGCAGTCAGGCAGGTAACGTTCTACTCGCATTCACCGAACCCAGACTCGGCCATCGGACTGCCAGAGAGAGAAGCGTGATTTGTCGCTCCACATAATGTTTCCACAGCTCCAGAGTCCTGTGGTGGCGTACTTTACACTGAAACATCTGAACTCAATAATTAGGAGGTGTGCCCAATACTTTTGTCTATGTAGTGTATATCTTAAGGGCACAGTAACAAAAACAGCCTGTGTGATTCTGAGGGACAAAGAGTGAGTGGAAACTGAGTGAATGAAAAATTAATTGTGACTGTTTTTGTTGCATAAACCCACACAAGTGGACCCCCAGCACAATGCTGATTGTTGACAAAGCTGCTGGTAATCGTTAGCCTCGCTGCTCCAGTGCAAAACCAAGGATGTAAACTTCAGATGCCAAAGTCTTGGCTCATCAGCCACATTTGGAGTTACTGTAAACGTGAACTATTACTTTGAGTCCTTATTTTAACTTGCTTTGCATCAGTGAGAAGCTAATTTAATGTTGCTGCAGATTACTGAATTTCTGTTGTCACCAGCCTCAATTCTGCCTCTCTTAGAACTCGTCCAGGTCCTCAGCGGCTGATTAGTACTGCAATCAGCCGAGCCATTGTGAAATTTGGCTTCACAGCATGATCTGACCATTTTGAAGTCCTTGAACAGAGGTGACAGGAGTCAGTGGGATATTTCTGGTGACAGCGTTTTGGTTCAGCAGCTCTTGCGCAATTGGTCTGGTGTTCCTTTGGCTGAACAGCCACTCAGAATGTGCCTGTGTGTTTTCATTTTCTGTGAAGGGCAAAGCAAGAGCCATGTGATTCTGGTCCTCGCTCCTGCTGGCTTGCCAGGGGCTTACAGCCAAGCCTAAACTATCCAACCAGAATAAAGAGGCCACAAAACTCCTTCATCTCAGCCAATCAAAGTGCTGCTTTCAACATTTTGGTCCCCCAGCCAGTGTAGAGTCTTAGAGTGACTATTTTGGGCTCCTCGTGAGATGCTAAAATTAAGCAGGACCTTTTAATATTGTATATCTAGTGGAGGCCTGTGTGGTGGAGTCCAATTTGACTTTCTCCCAAAGAGGTGTCAGTGGAGATGGGACTTCATTTTTACTTCTACTGGCCTTCTGACTTCTTAGAATGAATTTCCATGAATCAAAACACTTAAAGGAAGGACCAGCACCTTTTTATTTTTGTCAGCAGTCTCCATACAGGTGGGGCAGAAAAGTAAACGTTGAAGTTCAGAGACTGTTTGCAGTTCTGCATTATGTTCAGACATAAGTTTAGATCTGAGAGAGCTTAACTTAATCCTACTTGCCTTAAATATAATATAAAATAAGTAGTGGTGATGGATGTAGTTGTTCACATACATTGACACTGACAGCTTGTGCAGTTTAGACTTTTGGAAAAAAAATAAATTGTGTTATTTTTAAATACATGTTTGAGTGTGGTGCGGAACTGCAGACAGTATGGGGACGTAAGCATGCAGAGCTGTATATGGATGTGTTTAAAAACAGAAAGATGATGAATTTAATTATTCTTTATATCTAGTAAACCACAAACTACAAGCCGTCTTTAGCAATGTGTTTCTTGCCCAGTATCATGTTGGAGCACAAAAAACACAACCACCTTTCTCTCTGTTCCCCTGTGGTGGGGTATGTTTGTCACATGCCAGATTGAGATCACAAACCATTGCACTTTTTTACATCTCTTCTAATTTACAGAGTAATCACACTTCTTAATGAAAATGACATACCATCCAAATAATACCTGCTCTGTGGGGGTCCTGTGGGGGCCATTGAAAAACAGGGTAACAAAGTATGCAGAGAGACAGATGGACTACAGTCTGTAACTATAGAACTACAAAGTGCGCCTATACGGTCAGTGGAGCTGATAAAATGGACAATAAATGTTGATACAAGGTAGGTGTACCTGATAAGGGACTACAATCCACACTGCTACACGTTAGGGCCGCAGGATATGGATAAAATTCCATACTGAGATTAAATTGCTGATACATCTTGCAGTGCATTAATACACACTGGTGCCCTATTAAAGTAGCCTGCATTATTTTGACGAAAATAATTTGCTTTTGTTGGATCACTTAAACATCTCGATCCATACAAACACCCATGGATAGAGATGCACCATTCCTGGTTTTTATGGCTGATTCTGATCCTGATTTCTTTACAGACAGATTGGCTGCTAAAACACACAAGCACAATTCTAGTGCTTTTGATTGGTTGAAGTTGCAATATTATTTGTTCTTTAATAGGCCAAACTGGTATTTTCAATTCTTAAATTCAAAATCAGTTGTCTTTTTATAAAACCTGAATCAAGTGCTGCTTGTAAAGTAATAGGCAACTGGCTATTCAGCACAATAAGTCATGTATAACTATGCTACAGCATTTTGGTTCAGGTGTAGCAGCATCAGTATTTCGTATTTACATCATAAAAATGCAACACAGGTCGGCCAAAATAAAGCAATAAACTGCCTTATTGCATGTTTGGTACAAAAATCTGCCTGATTGCAATCATGCATTGTGCACGAAACCCATCATGTTCAGGATGCTTATAGTACGCACATTTGTGTTTGTGCTTTTCATTCAGTTACTGCTCACTGATATTAATATTAAAAAGGCAGAATTGTTCTCATGATTAAGAAATGCTACAATGTGCAGCAGTACTACACGTTCACTCTCAGTTGACCCAAATGCATCCAGCTTTGAACCTTGTAGTCCACACTTAGAAGGCCACTGTCTTTCTGAGATCACTGCTGATCCGCTCTACATCCTTCCTTCACCTCCTAAAGCACAAACTCCCCCCCCACTCCTTCTGGAGCATGTGCCAGTCTTTAGGATTTTAAGCTCCTGCTGGCCGGCGGAGTCGGATCGGACGGAAACTCTGCATTAGGGCCTGATTCCAGGAAACCAGACCAACACCCCGGGCTCAGGCCAGAGAGCGTGCTGGGTCTGGACGGCGTGTCTCTCACCCCAGGTGTCCAGTTACCATCCCCCATTTCAACTGCTGCACTCTCTTTGACTGTGCCATTGTGAACTCCTGCCCTGTTGCCCTGCTCACACACACACACACACACACACTAGCTGGAATTTCAGCTCAGATTAAATAGCGCTACTTGGAGAGGATTAGGTCATCGCTTTTCCTCTGAAATAGCCTTTATTCTTTGTAAAGATAACTAGGCCATGCATGTTTGGGATGCTCATTTCAAATAAAAACAGCCTTTTATTTATCTATGAAAGTGGTCAAAATTCGGACATCAAGAAAGCTGCAACAACCGTTTTTATCTGTGTGATGTAATTTTGTCTGTGTTTATACATAAGTGTGTCAGAAACCACATAATCAAGTCTATTGGCAATTACTGAACAACTCCACACGCTTGCAGTTAGCACCATGCTAATTGGTGGGGCACAATCTTCCATTACTTGTTAGCTACATTAGCCTCATGGCTCCAGTGCTAAATCTAACGAAGCAAACTTCAGACAAAGTAATAAAGTAAAAGACCTCATTGATACTTGCTGAGTTGGTGTGGAAGCGTGTATTGTGGGAATGTATTATAGTGTGCTTAGTGCATGGACTTTACTAGCAGCTTTTTTTTCTCTTTCTTTCTTCTTCTTTCTCTCTTTCTCAGCCCTGATGTGGCAGACAGGTCTTCATTTGATGTCCAGCTTGGCGACATCATTCTCACCGCCACAGATGGCCTCTTTGACAACATGCCAGACTACATGATCCTGCAGGAGCTCAAAAAACTCAAGGTAAGACCATCACATGAACTACATTTGCTTCACAATGCTTAAATTTTGTTTGAAACCTATTTTAAAACGTGTGTGTGTGTATATATATATAAAACCATATAATATATGTAGCAATTAACCAGAAGACAAATTTGAAATTAAGCTACACTTTTCTATAATTTGCTGACGGTGTGCAATTTTACCCTCCCACTCCAAACACACCTGCCAGCATTTTTCTGTTTGCATCTCTGCTCTTTCTGTGTTTCTGCATCTGAGTCTTGCAGGCTGTTTATTTACCTTAATATTTTGTACTATGCATATGAAGAATTACATTGCATCTTATTATGACACTGTATTGGTGAATAATGTAAAAAAGCAAACACTTTTATTTACCAGTACCAGTTTGTCCAATTGTAATTCATTATTTAAATCAGAGGACTGCCAGTCTTTCTGCCTTCACCACAAGGATCTTGAAAGTAATATTGTAAAACATTTTAACAGAACACCAACTATGACAGCATCCAGCAGACGGCCCGCAGCATTGCAGAGCAGGCGCACGAGCTGGCCTATGACCCAAACTACATGTCTCCTTTCGCCCAGTTCGCCTGCGACAATGGCCTGAACGTGAGAGGTGAGCGTGAGAGGATGGCGGAACTGGCTTGTCCAGATTGGCTTTTCTGTCCTTACTGAAGTGTGAAGGGGACCATGCTGGGCAGAGCCCTTGATTCTTTCAGACACAACAAACTCCCAGATTTTACCTTTCAGAGGTTATTTGTGGGACAAAATCTAACGATTCTTTCTAAAATCAGTTAACCTATCGAGCTAATGGACTAACCCAACTGTGTTATCCTTTTGATTCCTCTCACTTTGCTGCTGCTATTACTCAAAGTTTCGCCTGTACATCGATCTTTTGTGATCCATGTGAACATTTTGTGTGTTTATTTTTATATATCTCCAGTGACATTTTTGGCTGTTGTCGCTGCCGTAGTCGTTTGACAGTGAAACTTAGCTCAGATTAATAAAGCAAAAAGCTAATGAACCTAATGATACAAGATGCTAACTGGTATTGCATGCTATCATTTCTTGGATGGGTAACATTTTTAATATTTTTAATTTACGCTAATCCACTTCAGTTTACTTTAATTTGCCCACACTATTAATTTGACCACAGATATCACCCTCTCACAACTACATAACTTGCGACTGTTTCATAGTAGTTTATCAGTAATTCATAGCATTTACTGAATAACAACTCTTAAAATTAATAATGGAGTAATAATCATGAAATTTAAGAGGCTCCTTCTTTTCCTGAGCTGCTCTGTTCCCTTTCTTGGCTCCGCAGGGGGAAAGCCTGATGACATCACGGTGCTGCTGTCCATAGTGGCAGAATACACGGACTGAGAGCGCTCACTGGAGGTTGTCGTCTTTCATCCTTGTGTCTTCCGCGTCTGCCCCCTCATCCGTCATTCTCTCACGGCACTCTGCTTCCTGTCTTTTGGAACCGTCTCTCCCCTCCCTCTTCCTTTTTTTCTGTTTTCCGAGTAGCTCTCCAACGAGTCAGAGGAAGAGAACAGCATGGACTGGTCGGCGTGGGCGTACGAAGGATTCTATAGGAGGCTATTTGTGGTCATTTTACGACCTCAATCATGCCCAAGAGAATTATGGGAGCATGAGTCATCCAGTCATCCTACGTCTCTGTTATATGTGATTAAGTTGTAGGTTTGGGAGCGTTCCTGCTTTCGGAGCAGCGAGGGCCATGCATTATCTAAAGGTGCTTCTAAATGAGGTTGCTATTTTTATGGGAAATTGTAGAAGGGGGTGTTGTTTTTACTTTTTGCCCCTTTGTAGCTGGGAGAAATGTAAAGTGAAATCTGTTAGCCCTTTTCATGTGTGTTTGTCCGAGTGAGTGTGGTCGAGTTAGTATTCTCTCCAAATTGTGGGGCTGCATGATATGGACAGCGTATTAGTATTGCAGTTGTGTTGCTTCATATTCCAACTGCGATACATCTTGCAATATATTGAAAACACCAATAGTCTGACATTTGTTAAAGATTGGCCTGCGTTAGTTTGACTAAAATAATTTACATGAATGCTTGGATTCATCAGAACATTAACAAAAACTCATCTGGAGCTGTGATTGGTCAGCATGCACACTAGTTAAAGGGCTCATGTGCATACTGATGCCTTCTGTGATATCAGTAAAGTAAAGGCTAGTATAGCAACAATGATGAACAGACAATATATTGTGCAGCCTTGCACTCTTAAAATGAAAGGTTCCTAAATGGTTCTATAAAACATTTTTAATCTCTAGAACCTTTTGGAGCATCGCTCCAGAAAACCCTTATTTTTAAGAGTACTGTATTGGCTATAGCGATCTGTCCTATATGTGTGAGCTGTGGCAGTCCAGCATTCTGCCAGCTTAGCAGTGGTTTAGTTTGTAAGCCAATGGCAGGTTAATGTGCAGAGGGTTGGGTTGTTTAGTGTCACTGGGCTTGGCAAGTGCTTTTGGAGTTAGCCTACTGACCCTGTCGTCTTTTGGCTTAACCCTTAGAAGTCAGATATTGCCTAAGATAAGGAAAGCATGTTGTGGGGAATTCCATCTTTCTGTGTAATTTGTTTGTTGACATGTAAACAAAGTCATTCAGACTTGTTCAATGTGAAATATCTCATTGTAGAGAAACCTCTTTTACAGTGGTGGTGATAGCAACTATAGTTTCTCTAGAACAAAGCATTTCACACCAAACCACTCTGAATGACTCTGTTTACATCTTATTCAATTAAAATAAAAAAAAATGGTGGAATTCCCCTTTAATTGCTCATTGCATTTTCCACAGTTTCTCTACTTTTTTCAGATTCTAAGCTTGCAGTCCAAACCATGTTTCTTTTGTAAACAGAGGAGAGTCGAATTTGATGTTATTATTTTGCAGAAGGAAAAAATGTTCTTTACTTTTTTTTGCCATGTTCAGACTCAAACCTGTTGATACAGTATGTGAACCAAATGGTAATGTAATTAATTACATAAATAATTATGTAATTACGGTGTGCAATTTTTAAACAGCATTGCAAAACGACAATTATTCTCTCCTTCTAAGGGTTAAGTGGCCTGTTGTCTCCATGGTAACACTCAAGGAGGATGCAGCTAGTGGAACGCTGTGTTGAAGGGCAGGCTAAGGTGAAAAACTTGTTTTGGTCATTTGAGATGTCTGTGTAGCTGTGAGAAAGAAGCAGACTGTAAGCTGACACTGCACAGACATCACAGCAGGCAGAGTGGCCCTTGTGAGAGAGACACATGGAGGATTTAGGGATGGGCTTTCGAGTGAAATAGCAGCCATAACGGTTAGAACTGTGTAACGTGTTGTTACTTTTTGGAGAAATAGCGGTTGATAACTAGATAATGAGATTGAGTGAGTTTTTTATTGAAGTTTCATGTAATTCAAATAGGCTGGGACTAGAATGTTAAAGGAGTACTCTATTGTTTTTCAACCCAATCTCTGTTTGCTGCATCTGTAGCATAGAGTCCATTACCACAGACAATAACCTCAATGTGTTTTCCTGTATTTAGAAAAGAACAGGAACCATACTGACTCAAATCGCACTTATGATAGAAGCCAGTGAGCCGATGCTTCTATAATAAGTATATTTTGTTTGTGTATTTTCAGTTCCTTTAGTACGTACAGACAGACATGTATGTGGTAATTGACCTCATGCTATGCATGCAGATAGAGATTAGGTTAAAAATTGATTCCTTTAATTAAATTAAGCATGTATATGTGTCTGTACCGCATACTGTCCAAGATTTAAAGCTGATGGACTGTAGTGACTGTCCCCAAGAGCTGTGTTGAATGCGTGTCCTGTCTCCATTTGTATAACTTCTGCTCCCCCACCAGTTGAGCCAAGAAGTCAGCTGTATGCGCACAAATACATCCGGAGAAGCTTTTAAATGAAATCGCTAGGTCAGGTATAAAAAGAAAATGTTTTATTTTTATAAACTCATAGTTTTTAGCAGACTCGGAAGTGAAAGTAGAGGTAAATGTGGAGGTATGTTAGTGTGTTCTCTTGATCTTCATGACTAAATTGTTTTTAAAAAAAAAAAAGTTTAGTTTTTTGGGATTTTCTTGTTTTATTTTTTTCCCTAATCTTTTCCGTTTGTGTAAAACTTTTTTCTTTTCTTAAACTTTTTTCTAGATTTGTTCTAGAGACCGTTTCTCACATGCTGCTTTTATTTTGTAAATTGTGTGTGCGCATGTGAGTACATTTATTTATATGAATGTACTTTATCTGTACAATAAGTTGCGAGGGGTGGAGGGGGGTGGATGTCTTTGTCCAAAAAAGCAGAAGAAAAACAAACACATTCTGATCTCTCCTGCTGTTAAACCAGAACAGGACAAAAAAAACTGTTGAACCAAAGACATGAGCCCCCCAGTATTTTTGTAATTATTATTATTGTGGTTTTTATGGTCTTATTTTGTTCATTTTGGGTCTGATTGGAAAAAAATTTTAAGCAATACGTGATACGGTAATGTACAACCCTTCTGTCTGAATGATTTTTCTATTCATTTTCAACTGTATAGCAGATTTCCGAATGTGAACGTCCTCTAAGGTTTTAAAGTAGACTGATGATGATGTGTATGCTGTAAAATGGATGTTTCAGTTATTTAATGTTTGCTTGTGAACACCTGGGATATTCAAAACACTGGTAATGGTACACACTGAGGTTTTGGATCACTGTTGTGGGAGTGACTGTGACTTTTTTTTCTCATATTTCAGCATAGCTTGAACCAACAGTCACCTGAATAAAGACCCATTGTTTATAATGGGGAAATGATTTGTTATGGTGCAGGAAAGTTACCCAAGCGTAAAAAAGTACTAAGAATCATATGTGTACCTTAATAATGTGTGTACCTTTTTTTGCATAGATCTGAACACTGAGATTTTGAAATGTGCATGATTCAAACATGTCAGACAGTTTGTACTTGAATAAAATCTATTACATCAACACAATTCTTGCCACAGTAAGTAAGCAAAGACATCAGTTATATTGATGTGCAACATAATTGTATTTGTGTACAACCACTTGGCACTTTTGAATCATGCAAATTCAGATGTTTTTCAGTAGAGTCTGTTTCCTGGACGGGCTCTTTGGCTGAGTTTTCAATTGACACCTCAGTGGTAATTATCCACTATAAAGTCCCTTCAGTCTTTTTTTTAGGCTTAAGCCTAGTCTGAAAAAATGACCATATGTCTTTGAAAATCCCAGTGTGTGGCTATAAACATATGCACTATGCTGCAGATGGAAACCTGGGTTTGTATGGAAGGTGTGCAGGCAGATGTATCCTTTAAAATTGTGCCTCGAACAAATCTAGACCAAGGAGATTTTACAAAACTGGGTTTCTTGGCTAGCCCGATAAGCCAGTCCAGTAGGAGAAAAGATAAGGCCCATTTCTGTTATAGTCCTCACTTTGGGCTTAATTTTCCCAGAATTCTTGCTTTGTGTAATATCCCTGAGTATTTAAGTGTGAAGGTATTTCACAAAGCAGGATTTCTCAGTTAACCAGATAACATAAGCCCAACTGTCTAATAGTGGGAGAGCTAAATGACGTTCATATTGGACCATTCTCATTTTGGTTTAAAGGAATAATCCAGCCATGTTCAACTTAATCTCTACTCTAATTTCTTCCTTTTGAAAGGAAATTCCACTAATTCTTTTTTTTCTTTATTTTAGTGTGAAATGGTTCAGATTTCTCTACAGTGGTGGTGATAGGAACCAGGGGTCACCATGACTGCACAGATATAGACATTTTATTTACTATCCAAAACCACCAGTGAACCTACACGTGTTTTCTGAGTTTTTATGCAGAATGTTGATGATAGTAAAATAGTCCAAAATTTTAAAATCATGAATTCTTTGGGGGCTGTTTTGCCTCCCAACACTCTGCATGTATCTATCCACCGTTAAGGGCTTTTAAAAAGATTTTCATATAGTCTCAGGCATCAGGCAGTGTATTATAACCATTTCATATAATAACTTTGTTGTAGCCTACCCGGGTCTATTATTTGTATTGTTAAGGAGGGTAAAATAGTGGTAAATCTGATGAAATACATTTTCTTTAGGGACTGTTTTGCCTTATAACACCCTGCATGTACTTCTCCACCATGAATGTATTTTTAAAAGTATGTTTTAGGCCAAAATCTTATAAAACAGTGTCTCACCATGTAGTGTAGCTTTCTGTGAGGGAGCTTTAAGAGGCAATAAACACTTCAGACATCTGGTTCCTATCACCACCACTGTAAACAGTTTTGACCCTGCAAGTTCCTGTAGAATGAAGCTGTTCACATCAATCAGCTCTGAATGATTTAATCATTTAATTAAGCAGAAAATGAGCAGAAATTAGAGTAGAGTTCCACTTTAGCTGTAGCATAAGCTAAAGCAACTGCCTATTGACTTCTATTACAAGTGAGTTTCAAGTACAAGGTGCTGCAACACATTTATTGTTTGTGGTAATGAACTGTATGCTACAGATGCAGCAGATAGAGATTTGTTAAAAATGCTACTGTAGTTCTTTAAGTTGTCTGGGGTGGCTGAGAAATCCAGCTTTGGACTGTCGGTCAGAATGATCCTAGATCAGCAGAAACTCCGCTGACGCTGTGGTCTCTCATCCATACCTGTTTAATCCATATTTCTAAATGATCATGGTTGCACCAGAGCTGGTTTATGAGGAGTCTGGCCACTTCCTATTTCCCCCGTTATATTAAAAACAGGACTGCAAAACAGCAGAGGGCGTCCATGAGCGAGTCCTCAATGAATAGGAGTAAATGGAGCTAAAAATGAAAAGTTAGAGTAGTTTCTAATAACTTGCCCAGAATTTTTTCTTTAATTTTAGAAAGTATAAGGATATATTTCACAAAAAGCAAAGAAAACTTACCTATGTGTTTCCTTTTTTCTACAGTAAACGGGTTTTGGGCAGCAGGGCTCTAGCGTTACTGCTACTGAGTGCTGATTGGTTGACCCATTCATTTTGGACTCGCTCGAGAGCGCCCTCTAGCGTTTAAGAAACCCGGAATACATTACAGAGTGGTTATTCTCCTCTCTACAAGTTCTCTGGTTGCACTCTTCAAGCCATAGAGCGATTTCAGCTTCAGTCGGTGAAGAAAACCAAAGTAGAAAAGCCATATTTACCAGCACAACCAAGGCATCCATTCATCCTTCTCTTGCTGTCCTTCATAGAGTCTCTGACTGAATCAGTGTGTGATTGTTTTTAACACTTATACTGTATATTTGAGGGGAAAAAAATCAGAAATGTTCTATAGTTACCAAGGCAACAAACTGTGTATATGACAATAAGATAAACAAATGTATGTGTGTGGGCGGGGCCTAAATGCAAAGATTAATGCGTAGCTGCTGCTTTTGATCAGTGTGTTGGGTGTCGCTGCATGATATGTGGGTGTGTGGCTGTTTGGCTCATCACATAGACGCTACTTCAGTCTGCTCCAGTTCTGTTCTGTTTGTCATTTTTCATTTACTATAAATCAGTTTGATCAGGCAGTAGGGCTGCACAATATGGACAGAATGCTAATATTGCGATTATATTGCTATATATTGCAATACGCCTTATTCAAAACTTTCATCAGTAAAGTGACTAAGGCTGGGTATCGGTTAAAAATGTCGATAGCGATTCCTGAGCGAGAGGTTTTTGATATTTTCTTATATTACAAAATGAGTGTGGGTGTGGCTTAAAGTAGAAATGAGTGCTGGTGTATTTACTGCCTGCAGCGGATTATAGACTAATCATAAGCACTGATGTTAAAGGGGAAATCCACCGATTTTTCAAAATTCCTTCATAATTCGGTTGAGATGGGAACAGAGTGACTGAGAGTGGTTTGGTGTAAAATGGTTCAGGTTTCTGTACAGTGGTGGTGATAGGAACCAGGGGTCACCATGACTACAACACAAATATAGACATTTTATTTACCATCCAAAACCACCAGTGAACCTACACGTGTCTTCTGAGCTTTATGTGGAACTTTTAAGAATGGTAAAATGGTGAAAAATCTAAAAAACAAGTTTTCTTTAGGGACTATTTTGCATCACAACACCCTGCATATACCCTTCCACCATGAATTAAGTTAAAAATTTAGGCAAAATCCTGTTTTCAAAACTCCCATACAACAGTGTCTCAGACATCAGGCAGTGTATTCATAACCATTTCATGTAATAACTTTCTGTGAGGGGGCTTTTAGAGGTGGACGTCTTGTTCCTATCACCACCACTGTGAACAATTCTGACTTGGTAAGTTTCTCTAGAACAGAGCGTTTCACACCAAACCACTCTGAATGACTCTGTTTACATCTTAACCTTTGAAATATGCAGGAATTTTGAAACATCATTGGATTTCCTCTTTAATATGCATGCAAAATGGAATTTAGACAGCCAATCAGCAGTCTAGATTTTGCAACAAGCATGCTTATTGGCTCACTGATCCTGATAAGACCGTTTGCTTCGGTATTGAAGCGTGATTTTGAATGACTGAAGTAAATCTGATTTCAGTTAAACTCCTGCTCTTTTAACGTCCAGAATACAATCAGTAATGACCAAAACAAGCTAGTTAGCGAAATGCTATTGTTAGCTAACAGAACTGTTTTTACGTTGTAAGATGTAATGTTTATTTTTACTGCATGTAATGTGTTCTCCACATACGCAAGACATCAACATGCTTAATTTGAGTTCTTGGGGGACTTTTCCGTGCTTAACGTTACTCAGAAGCGCATCAGCGCCCCCCTACATTCAAGAGCCGTTGGATTGCTTTAGAAATTTCCACGCTAATAAGTTGACAATCTAACCACAATTAGCCCAGAATTTCTCACGGTTGTCCGCAGATGTTCTTCTTACCCGGTCAATTGGTCCTGCAAGCCAACGCACCATAAGATTATTTATATTTAATGCGCTAAATGTGACGAAGATTGGCCTGAATTATGTTGACAATAGTAAGGTTTTAAATTGACTGCAATTCATCAAAACACCCACAGAAATTCATCTGAATGATGTGATTGGTCAGCGTTACCACAGCACAGAGTAAAAACAATGTGATTGGTTGGAGCGCTTATTTTCATATTGCATATTCTCTGTGCAGTATCGGTATCACAAAGGCCAATATCTCAATAACGATTAACAAATGATATATATTGTGCAGCCCTATGAAACAGCTTCAGATCAAATCCATACTGTCCCTCCTGAGTCAGAAGCGTGCGCCTAGTTTGCAGCAGCAGGACCCAAAACACACCGAATCCGCCTTAAACAGCATCACGCGAGTTTGTCCTGCTGCTGTGTGTGTTGCTGCTTTGCTCTGATTCGTCCCTTTGCAGAGTCTCTGTCTTGTTTTACGATGTCTTCAGCGTCCATTCTTCTCTCTGGTGATTGTTTGCGATGGTGCTTCTGCAGATGAGTCTCGTAAGCAGACGATGTTTGAATGAGAACTACACTTTTTTGTGTGTGTGTGTACAATGTAACAATGCAAATCTAGTTTCTGTAAATATGTTTTCCAAGTTGTAAAATATTTAAATAAAAATAATATAGTATTTATACTTTAACATGATGTGAATTTGTCATTTTTTCTGTCGTATTCTGTTCATTCACTTTAATTTACCTTATATAGATACTGTTGAATTATTATCTACACTTTCTTTCTTTCTGTTTATTTCACTTTGCTTCATCTTTTATCTTTGTCTGTTTTTCTTTTTTTCATTCCCTCCCATATATATGTGTGTGTGTGTGTATATATATATATATATATATATATATATATATATATACTTTACTTTTAATGTAAGTCAGTGGAACCAGATGTTGAAATGTTGTTTGAAATTTACACACAATATAAAGGATAACAGGCATTTGCAAATTTTGCCAAAAACTCAAAAATGACAAAAATGGAGATGCGAGGATGTGAGGCTTTGGTCTGACAGCAGTGATATATATATATATAGTATTTTTCCTCTCTCTCTCTCTCTGTACATATTGAGTGTGAAAATTGCCTTAGTTTTAAATTGAACTGTTCAGCCGGTCAGTGTAAAGATTCTCCGCGTCTACCCGCACATGGACACACCATAGATGACCTAGATGTGCAGTGATGACACACACAGCATTTATTCCAACAGCCTTCAAAATACAAGCAGAAAGGCTGGCGTACACCATAAAGAACTCACATACTGTCAGTCCAATAATATCCAGACAGTCCTGCTAATGAGTGAATTTTGCTGCTTTAAGATCACCCAGTGCTGACACAGGTGTTCAACTGTGCACAGCTATAATGTACATATAAAAACACTGACCAACAGAACGGGATGCTCTGCTTTCTGTGAGCCTGAGGCAGTGGTGCCCATTCCTGGTCCTGTAGCTCCACCAGCCTGCAGAGTTTAGCTCCGACTCTAATCTACAACATCTGAACGAGGTAATGTAGGCCTTCAGTGGCAGCACAGCAACAGAGCCAGCTGTGTTGGATCTGAACTCTTTAAGGTGGTAGATCTCCAGGACTAAGACGGAGCACCCCTGGCCTAATGCCAAGTGGGGGCTAGAGGGGTATAAAGCCCCCCGGCATTGGGCTGTGGAGCAGTGGAACTGTGTTCTCTGGAGTGATGGAGCTCCATCCAATACCTTTGGGATGAGCTTGAGTGATTCAGAACTGACCATCCAACATCAGTACCTGACCTCACTAATTCAAGGTTCTTTAGTAAAAGAAATGGTTCTATATAGAACCACGAACACTCAAAGAACCCTTTGCATGATCAAAGAGTTCTACAGATTGATAATGTGTTCTATATAGAAACTTTTTGAAAAGGGTTCTATTTAGCACCAAAAAGGGCAAAGGAGTTCTTCTATTGTTACAAGCTTGACATTGTGATAAAAAACCTTTCTGCTGCTATATAGAAAAAGATTCTATAGAGAACCCTCTGCAGCACATTCTCCATCAATCTAAAGAGCACTATCACGATGCAAAGAACCCTTTAATCATGCAAAAGGTTCTTTGAGTGTTTATGGTCATAGACAGAACCATTTCCTTTACTAAAGAACCCCTAAAGGACTATCTTATTTAAGAGTGTACTGATTCACTATTGCCTCGGCAACTTAGTCTAAGACTCGGCTTAATCCATGTCCATTAAACCGAGCCATGTTTTTTTGGTCTGATCTCTACATTTAGAGATGAAAATACAATCCCTTAAAAAGAGACATTCAGTCATCAGTTCATTCTCCAACCTTGACTGCTCCAGAACCTGATTACAAAATCAACTGTGGCGGATCGGCGCCATTGTGTGGACACTTAATGTAATGGCATGTTCCTTATAACTATAATAAAGACGAATAACAATAATTTTTATTTCCCATCTAAAACGTACATATCAGTTACAGACCTATGCAAAGACAGTTATAAAGACATAAAAAGGTAAAGACCTAAAAAGGAACAGATTTGTACTTTTCTGAGTATTTTACGATAATACTTTTATGTCTAAGTATATTAGTGAGTAATCTATTTTTTTTTTTTATTGTGTTGGTTCAGCTCCTGAATTACTTCATTGTTTCTTGCCCTTCTCATATGGGAGCTTTAGCAATTTATTTTAGATCAATAGGATCCAAAAAGAGTCGTAAAGCCGTAAAAACTTCAGTTTCTATGTTGAAAGATGTTGGATGGACCAAAAAGCTCCACAGCGGATCCTCGCAGTACTTAAAGGGGAAATCCACCAATTTTCCACAAAGTGAGATGCACCTCTAAAAGCTCCCTCACAGAAAGTTATACACTGCCTGATCTATTAATGGTGGAGGGTTGTATGCAGGATTTTGTATTTCTGTTTTTTTCATAAGTACTGTAGTGATTTATTCCGAGAAGTAGCTTAACGTTTGCTATAGTTTTTCTCATTCACCTCTGAATGTTGATTATTATTATATAATCATTATTATGATCTTGCCCTGTGATAAGCAGCAGCGGTCCTGCGTAAAAGCAGCGCAGCCACGTCAAAGGGGACTAAGGGGTTGCTAGGCTTGTTAGCTTAGATAGCATCAGCTAACAGAGCTGCTAGTTGGGACAGCTAACAGATTAGATTAATAAATTAGACGCGTTCGTATTACAGAAACGCACATCGTCTAATCATATTATTTCTGAAGCTCGGGTGAACTTTGCATGTTTACAGCTGCTAGCTGGGCGAATTAACCTGCTAGCCGGAGCTAACATTAGCTAGTATAGTAAGCTTGCCGGTTAGCTTGTTTACAGAAAACGGTTTTATTTATTTATTTATGTTCTTATTCTGGAACGTGTGCCTGTAAAATTACTAATATTAGCATAAACGTTGTGTACTGACACGACTCTCGTAGCCGTCGTTTTGTTAATGTTGGCAAGGGAGCAAATTTAGCTAACCTATCTTAGCTAGCTAAGTTATTCAAAGTGTGTTTCTTTCAGTCAGAGAGAATCAACGTCAGCGAACGAACACAAAATATCTAAATCTAAGAAGTGGAACTAGTGCGCCCACTTTGTTATTAAAATATGCAAGTCGAATCTTAGCGTAAGTAACGTTAGGTTAGCTTGAAGCCGATGTCAGCCCAAGTTAAATATCTCTGTTGCAGAGCTAGCTTAGTGCTAAACAGCCATAAGGAAGAGGCGATAAGAAGAGTGTCGGGGCTTTAGTGTGAGGTTGTTACTGGTGAAGGCGGTGAACTGCAGCTGCAGTCCGCGGACAAGCTGGATTTTCTGACCGAAACACAATGGCTAAAACTCAGCTGCAAGGTGGTGGAGGGCAGCCTGAGGACGGACGGGGTTTTCGGGGAACGACAGAAAGCCTGGCCGAGCCGAAGAGCCCTTCACTCGAATCCCAGACTGAGCTGAACGGCTCCGCCAACAACGCTGAGACACCCACAGACAAATACGGATTTATTGGAGGAGCTCAGCAGTTTTCTGAAGACTCGTACGTATGAACATCATCTGAGAGGCCAGTTTAGACCGAAATAAACAAATGACAGGTCTTAGGAGTTTACTAACTGTGACTGGATCGCAAGATGTTATAATATGAAGGCTGTCACACCTGTACAGGTTAACTTTAACTCTGAAATAATGACTGCAGGCGTAAGTGGTTGAGCAGAAGTATAAAGAGCTATTTAAAGACTTTTGATTTTTTAAATTCTCCATAATTAAATTTTTAAGATGTAAGCCGTCATTCAGAGTGGTTTGGTGTGAAACGCTCCACTCTAGAGAAACTTTCTGAGTCAGAATTGTTCACAGTGGTGGTGATAGGAACCAGACGTCCACCTCTGAAAGCTCCCTCACAGAAAGTTATTACATGAAATAGTTATGATTACACTGTCTGATGCCTGGCACCGTTTCATGATAGTTCTGAGGAGGTTTTGGTCCTGAAGAATCGTATATTTTTAAAAGCCATTCATGGTGGAGGGATACATGCAGGGTGTTGTGGGAAATAGTTCCCAAAGAGTTTCAAATTTATGACTATTTTCCCATCATCAACATTCCATATAAAAGCTCAGAAGACACGTGTAGGTTCACTGGTGGTTTTGGATAGTAAATAAAATGGCTATATTTGTTTTGTAGTCATGGTGACCTCTGGTTCCTATCACCACCACTGTAAAGAAATTCCCTTTTAAGTTAGGGAGTAACTTGTAGAACTGCAGTGGAACTAGGTCCATCCAGCATCTCTCAGCAGAGGATCTGCTCTTGTTAGATCCTTTCATTCATATGAAAACCCGCCAAAGCTATAAAGTGAGAGCAACAGTAAAGCAGTACAGGAGCTGAGCCAGCACAACAGAATCAAATTGACCCCCAAAAAGAGAACAAGAAGCTGTCAGGGATTAAAATGGACCTGAGTCAGATCACTTTGCTCACAAATATACTTAAAAGTAAAAGTACTGTGAGTTGAACACACTCAGAAACGTACAGATCCATCAGAACTGCACTTGAGTACGTGGAACTGCATAAATGGAACAACCTGTGGTTCACACTGCGGTAGTTTCAGTGTCAAGACAGTCAGTGACTGAATGACTTGATAGCATCTACATTTCCATGACACCCCTGCCTGGCTGTAGACGCCCCTCTTCACAAAGCTGGTGCTGAAGGTGCTCTTACTTTTATCTTTGGTTTGCTGCTGGATTGAGAAATCCATTCAGATACATTGATTCTTTTGCTTTGGTTAGCGGCTTCACTCATAGACATTTATAGAGCAGTAACAGCACCATAAAGTCTATTCTGGGAACAGACTGGTTGCCAGTGTGGGGGGGTCTATATGTATGGTCTGTAATATAAACTATACTATAAACTCTTAACAATGATGGTTCTTCAAGAGTTCTTTAGTAAAGAAAATAGTTCGATATAGAACCATGAACACTTAAAGAATGCTTTGCATGATTAAAGGGTTCTTTTGCATCATGAAATTGTCCTTTATATTAATGGAAAATGTGCTGTAGATGGTTCTGTGTAGAACGGTTTTGAAAAAGGGTTCTATATAGCACCAAAAAGGGTTCTTCTATTGTTACGACGTCAAGCCTTTTTTGTGCTATATAGAACCCTTTTTGAAAAGGTTCTATATAGAACCATATAAAACACATTCATCAATCAATCTGAAGAACCCCTTCATGATGCAAAAGAACACTTTAATCATAAGAAAAGGTTTGAGTGTTCATTTTCGTTACTAAAGAACCCTTAAATAGCCATTTTTTTATGTGTGTAGTGGAGATTTGAGTCACATTAGTGTTTTAGTGGTGTTGATAGATGCTTAACTAGAATGTATATCATTTGTTGGGAGAACAATTGAAAATACAATAAAAACTAAAGAAACAGTTCTGTTCGAAGTAAGCTGTGTTTTTAGAATAGACTAAAAGCGCAGAGTCATGGGCTTATTACCTCTACAGTCTTAAAAAAGATGGTTCTTCAAGGGTTCTTTAGTATGTAAAATGGTTCTTTCTTTTATAATCTTTTTAAAAAAGTTGTTTTCATCATGTTAATTTCCATTTTCCATTACATTACATTATTGTTAATTACAGTACTTTAAATTTTAATTTGATTTATCTTTGTATTGTCTCATTTTTAAAGCACTTTTAATGACTGCAGTGTATGAAAGGTGCTCTATAAATAAACGTGCCTGGTCTTATAGACACTTATAAAAGAACCTCTGAACTTACAGAAGAACCCTTTTCAAAAAGGTTCTAGAACCATCTACACAATCTGAAGAACCATTTTACGATTCAAAAAACGATTTAGGCATGTAGAGGGTTTCTTTGAGGGTTCATGGTTCTGTATAGAACCATTTTCTTTACTAAAGAACTCTTGAAGAACCACCTTTTTTAAGTGTGTATGATGCTGACCTAACATGTGATGCCACAAAGCATTGATTATATATGAAAATATGGTTTAGAAGCTGCTGTTCACCAAGACCTGCCTTTGTTTCTTCATTCGTCTTTGTGCACATAAATAAAATAAAAGGCTGTGAAACCAAAACTCTGAAAGCCACTACGTAAATAAAACGGGTACATAAATAGAACAGAACAGGTACACGCCTGCTAACACTAGAGCGAAGCAGTGCGGTGGTAGATGGTGATGACTCATCAAAGTAACACTGAGAACAGAAAAATATCTTTCCATTGTTTTTGGTTCTAGATAATGCCAGCTAGTAGTTACAGCTGCTCCACTTCTGCCTTCGTAATCACATCCTTAACGAGGTGCTCATGTTGTTCAGGTTTTATTAAACTAAAACCATGTTAGATGCCTAACCCCTTTAAATCCCAGGGTTATTACATACTAAGGCTTATTGTTCAGGAACTACAGGGACTTTAGTGCAAACTGGTAGAGCTGTTCTTAGTTTATAGAGGTGTGTTGTAAAGGCATTTAAGTAACCTATTTTTGTATGTTAACAGTGGATTATTATTCTCAGATGTTATTTCACTTTAAAAATATGCCTTTTTTAACAACCAAAAGAAAATATGAAGTACTTTTATTGTGAAAAATATGATAAACAAAATTGAACAATGGATAGATAAATCATGTCATTATTGCTTTTTTGCACTACTCCCATGGTCCCGTTCTGTTTCATGTCTGAATTTCTACAAGACTAAATTTGGCTTCTTATACAGCAGCTTTTTGACCTTTCTGTTCCACCTTAAATAGAGTAGCAGTTATGTTCTGTACTGGTGCCTGAATGTCATTGTTGCACAATTTAAGGTGGAATGCCAAATTTGAATAAAAATCCAATTTCAGCTTGGTCAAATTTGTGAAGTCATACAGTCAACATTCACTGCTGGAATTTTGAAAATGTTAGTTGTTCACGCTTCAGTACCAGCTGGTCTACAGCCTGTTGCACCCACACAAATCCAAGAGTGTTGTCTGATGCAGCTGATCAAGTCAGGCAGCTCATTTTAGGCGGTACGAGAGGAAACAGGAGCATTCTGGTGTCAATGTATGGCTAAAGCTACCCCCAGATGACCGACCGTTCCTTTATATTCGGTACCTTGTAAGCAAAGTGGACTGCTTCAGATGAGACAGACTAGACAGCAGGAGGTGATCGAGGGTCTGCTGAAACATCCCTGACTCTGCCATGCAGCGAAACAGTACAACAATAGGGTGGTTTACACTGTTGGTATGCCACATCTGCGCTGATATGTGGCATACCACATATACCACCATCCACCACTACCTGGTTTGTATTCAGAAATGCTTAATATTGTACTTTCCATTATGTAGTTTTTAGTATTTGGCAAATCCATGATCAAAAGCCTTTTATTCCTTAATTATCCTTAACTTAATTCTGATTCCCTGCCCAATGCCACACTGACACAATACATTAGGCGACATTTTCTATTCTGTATAATGAGTTTTGTGAGTTTCTTTTTAAAAAGCCAGACAATGCAGCCTTGTATTTGCTGGCATTTTGGCCAGACCTTCAAGCAAACATGTGACAGTAAAATTAATCTAATATTTGTGACTAAATAATGGCTAAAAGGCAAGTCATTTCATTTGTTCACTATGAATGGTCCCTTCTTTGGAAGTTCAGTGAGTTTTTAAAGTTCTAAGCACCAGCAGCTCTAGATGAATCATGCTTTAGATTATTTGGAAACTTTTTTAATGGTATGGAAAGTTATTAATGGTTATCAAAAACAAACATAAACCTCATCATTTCAGGACTTTTAAGGCTGGTTGCTGACCTTTACCATAATACAAAATTTAGATAGTATACCTACGAGAGGCAATCAAATAGACATAAGGAATCAAGAATGTAGTTAAAGCAAAGCCAGTAAAAAGTGGAAGGCATATATAAACGAAGATAAATGCAATACCTTAGGAATGTGAACTCCCCGATCTACAGCATGATTTGTTTTGATTCTTGGTTTTGTCTCTTGGTAAATGATTCAGCTTTAGCATTTGTTGCTGTAAGTGGAGGTGTTGGGATGAGACAGAAAACAGTGCTTTTTCTCTTAAATAGAGTCTTTAAGAAGGCTGCAGTCTGTAAGCTATCATAGAACAGAGCCTCTATGCAGAGTAAATGACATTTTACTGTGAATAGACAGAAACCGGCCAGTGCAATGAAGAGGGTTTAGCCCAAGGGTGAGCTTGGCATATTTGTCTGAGAGTCAATGTCAAAACTAATAACTGAGTCAATGGCTTTATGAATGGAGCATAGAGACCATTCATATAGCCACTGACTTAGTTATGAGCTTTGACAGATTTGTTTGCCATGGGATAGTTTATTGCTGCCATGGAGACGGACATTGGGATTTGGCCCAGAATACACCCTTGTGGGACACCACAATTGCTTGGCTGACTCATAACAGGACAACAGGTAGAGTTAGTTTGGTTTGGGTTCGCAGTGTTTTTTAAGAACCCACTTTGAAAGAGTTGTATCCACTCTCTAGTGAAAATGTATGACCTCAAATTATTACGATATATTATGATTCTTCAGGAAACAGTTCATGAAATCTCAGTTTTCGCAGTTCAGTTTGATGCAGTCCGAATTATGTTTAAGTGTTGTCTGTATACACAAATGTGACTCTGGCAACAGTTTTAACATGATTAGAAATGTTAAAACTTACCCCATAGATGATGTAAAGTGGAACAGATGGAGGGCCTGGTTGCAACAATCACTAGAAAAGTCTGGTAAATCAATGTCAGTTCAATAGAGTTCATCTCATTTAGACCAAGTCAGCTTTCCAACTGAAACATATAAAAATATATTCATATCGAAGTAAATATATTTAGTGAAAATTCAAACACGGACAGATTTATTTTTATCTTCAAATTAGAACAGTGAATATCAACACAATAGATTTGAAATTTGTGAAACAGCCCAAAGATGTATGCATTTCACAAACTCATTACGCCACTGTGGAAAAGAACTTTATGTATTAAGACTCTTCATGAATGAGCCTTCAGTTTCTCTTTCGTCCTGAACTTCTTGATGTCTTGGTGGATGGGTGTGGCTGCAGTTCATGTGATGCGCTGTAGTCTTACCAAATTGACTGTTAAATTCAGGTGCAGTATGGATGCATACTGTGGTGACATCAAGGCAGTCTGTCCCTGAGTGTTTCAGGAAGGGGGGGGGATCTTTCCACTACAGCACTTCCTGTTTTCCATGTGGGTTTGTCAGTTGCAGGTCGTCTGCTCTTCCCTGAGAAAGTAAATTTCATAAGGAATTAGTTTTTGGTCGTATGGTCGGTTTTTAATTGTCTGAAACGCTGGGTGGGTGTTATGATAAAAATATAACATTACAATACCTGATGGCAAACTGTATCACACCGTATATGAAATATTTCATATCTCTGACATTTGCAAACTAATTAGAATAAACAAAAAGCACCAGAAAAGCAGTAGTGCTACATTAAAAAAAAATTGGAAAAAATAAATGAATAAAGTGAGATGATGGTATAATAGGCTGCCATTCAATCCGTTACTTCTTATTATGCATTTTATTCAGTTAGTGTATTCTTGTTGTTGTTTACAGACTCTAAATTGGTCTTTGATCCATGCAGTTGTTCAGCGTTCTAGTAGTACTGATGATACCCATCATGTAGTCAGAAAAGCCTTCTACGACAGAATATATCACACTGAAAATATATCGACGTATTGCCCATCTCTGTCTAGAACCACAGCCAAGAGGAAACCAAACACAGCCTGTGTTAGGTTAGTGTCTCATTCAGCTGTATCACACCATCCTGTAATCTAATAGCCTCTGATAATCCACACCTTTTAATCCATGTACACAGAGGACCTGTGAGTATTTATGTCCCGCATAAAGCAGCTGGACGTCCGTCATGTTCTCTACCTGGAGCTTAGGGGCCCACCGTAATTTAAAAGATTATCAACATCCTTTCTGCGTCACTATGTTTCAAACTCTTTTTGAGAACAAATCACTGCACAGTACACTGACCAACTGCATGGTTCGTAAAAAGAGGCTGTCAACAACAACTACCAGTGTATAGTAACTACATTAGCTGCATAGTAGTTGTTCCCCAGCCCACTTGAAAATTATCTTGTTTTATTCATTCACTTTTAGGCCTGGGACAGTAAACAGTTTTGAAAAATGATCAATAAGTATCAGCCTTTTCATTAATAAAAAAAACAAAACACAGATTCATTTACATTAACGTACAGTTTCCATTTGCAGTGTGTGGCATGTTTGGCCTGCTAACTAAGCTAATGCTAGTTTAGCCAAAACTTTACAGTCCAAAACACCACAGAACAGGTTCGATTTTGGCTTTCTTTCGGTCATTCCACTTTTATTCTCTATTTTTTATTATCTACATTTGTTTCAGAGCAGCAGTTAATCAGAATCAAACCTGCACTGTGATGGGTGGTTCTGTTAGTGTCTGTAGCTGCTCGCTAAGCTAACTTTAAGTTAGCCGATCAGGCTATAGCTCCAAACACACAGAACCTGTTTAATTTCTCCTTTTTGCCCCTTTCCGCACCAGCTGCTTGAATTTACTCCCTCAGATATGAGTCATTATCATCTGAAGTTGTTTTCTGTGTTTTAGTTAACCAGAATCCAACATGTTCTGTGGTAAGCAGAGCTGTTATCATGCTAGCTAAGCTAATGCTAACCAGCTCCTCTGTCTTAATGTGTAAGGTTTTCGATTGTGCTGATATTATATTTTTGCCCAATCGCCCATCCTCATGAGAACATCCCTTTTTCTTTTTCTTGATAATTCTGTCTCTGTGCTTCATGCTGATGTGGTTTTTCTCCATGTTCACCCACTCAGTTGTGGTTTAATTATACTGAGGGTGTGTCTATTGACTGGCTTTAATAAAGAAAGCTTTTCATTGTGAAACCTCTGGGATCTCGATCACACTCACAAAAGGGCTTGGACTGCTAGAGAGAAAGATGAGCCACCCTCAGAGAAGAAAAAGGAACGGTATATATTGTATAATATCTGAATAAATCACAAGAATAAAAGCCCTACATTCACTGTCTTCAATAATATAAATCCAGTTTAGTTGCAGGTACATGTATAGAAATTGTTCTAATTTGCCCATCCTGAACAACTACACAGCTCTTTAGATAATCAGTGGGAACAAATATGAAGATCAAATCTCAAGACAGCTGACATGACACAAAAATAATGTAAATAGATATTTACATTATGTAATGTTATTATCCTTTAAATATTGAATAAAACATCTAAAAATGCAAGTTTGTAATATTTCTAACACTTAAATCCACACTGTAAAAGTCAAAATTGAATATAATATAACAAATATGCCAAGTGCTTTTGAACAGTACACTCTTTAACAAAAAGGGTTTGAACAATGACATAGAAGAAATGGACATTTCAGTCAGTTTGTTCCCACCCTTAAAACTCTGTTTCCTCCCACATTTAGGCCACAGTCTCATGACTGTCCCCAAATGTGGTTCTTCTATGGCAGGGTTTGCAACCCAAGTGTTAAGAAGAGTCATTTTGTCCTTTCAACAAAAATCAAACCACCTTGGGAGCTACAACATTTTATGTCAGTTTTACCATCTTGGCTGTAAATATGTCTCCATATGTGCTAATGTACTAGTATAGACTAAAAATATAATATAAACGAAAACGCAGACTTACTTTGCTCTGCCTTAAGCCTTAGCTCAGCTTCTCATTCCTTCTTGTACTTATTTTCCCATTCCTCCTTAAATGGTGCCTGAGGTGCCAGAATGTAACTGCTGCACCATTTAAGGTGAAACGGGAAAATACGAACAAGAAGCTGGCGAATGAGAATGACTTCAGCCTCCTGACTTTTTAGTGTTTGACAGTTTCTCGTTGCAGATTAAACGTATCAGGAAACCAGCTGGAGTGATTATTAAATGCAAAGTACACTTGTCTCTAAATGATTGAGGTTCATTTCTCTTTGCCTTTTGTTAGCTACTAGCTAGGCGAGATTGTTGTCTGCGATGCTATGGTGACCAGCAGTCTGCGCGTCAACCTTCAGGGTTAAAGGGTGAATTAGCAGTTCTACATTAACTCCAGCGTTTAAGACCATATATTGTTAAAACTGTGTTAGAACGATCAACAGAGCTTTATTTTACTGCAAAGGAGGATTATTATTTTTTTTTTAACCTGAAAATCCAATTCCGCTGTGGAGCCGCAGCAGGGCAGTAAAAGAGCCGCATATTGCCAACCCCTGTTCTATGGCACCACTCTGAAGAATCCTTTTTCGCCCTTTCATTTGTGAGAGTGTTGACTGTTATATTGAACATTCAGCAAAGTCTGAATGAAAAAACTGTTTGAGTGTGACCTAATATTCTGATGATCACACCCAATTGACAGCCCATAGTCCAACACTCCTGGACGCTACATCACTGAAACAGTAAAGCAGAGGGAAATGAGTGAAATGGGCTCTACATATCCAGGTGCTCTTGTGTCCACTCACTAAAAACATCATCCAGCCTTTATAAGGAGACACCTTAAAGGAGGTTCTTTATTCACTTACTGCTGCATCCATGGAACGTTGGCACAGCTGGTTGACCAAATAAATGGACGAATGAATTGTTCTAGCTTCTAGTTATTCTTGATGGTTTAGCTTTCGCTTGGTGGTTAGCTTTCTTTCTAAGTTTGTTTGATGAGTACAGTGAAGCTATAGGGGACCACAACGTGTGTAAAGCTATGCAGACAGGACAAACCACGTGAGCCTTGTGATTGGTGACTGCTTACATACCCGTGACCCAAGATTAGGATCGACCAGTTTATATCCATTGTGAATATCTAGACTGTGTCTGTCGTCTGATGTTAGATAAAGTGCTTGGAATTTCAGGTAGGGTTCAGCAGCACATTGTATGCAAATGTACACATTTCCCTTGACCAAGTTTTTGCAAGCCCACCTCCTCCCTGCTCCTCAGTGTTATCTCTCTGTCAGTCCTACCCCAGTTATGGGGGAGCCCAGCCTTGTAGCTCCAAGCAGAAGCTGCGCAGAGCTGCAGCCCAAGTTCTCAGAGTTCTCTTCCTTCCCTCAGCCAGTCTCACCTCATACTACCACCACCATGTTGAAGGCTGGTTACGATCAAATCATTATTTAAACAAAACTTCTGCTGTTTATACCAAAGAAGACAGTTTGATGAACACGAAGCTGAGTATTGAAGATAAATATACACAAAGCTTCAGCACAGATCTGTATATGATTAACTAAACATTTACAGTGGTGGTTCCGTTTCATTGAAAAGTAACATGGTTGTCCCCAGACATGTCCCAAAACAGCAAAATCAAACATTACTCACAAATAACTGTGCTGTGTATGTGAATAGGCGAGAATGTTTATTCTCTCTCTGCTGTGTTCTACAGTGCTGAAGAAATTCCTCCAGAGGTGCTGAGGCAGAGAGAGGTGAAATGGCTGGAGATGCTCAACAGCTGGGACAAGTGGATGAGCAAAAAACACAAAAAGGTGAGCTTTCAAATCTGTTGGTAGATTGTTTTGACACTTATGTCCGATATACACTCACTCAGCACTTTATTAGTAACACCTCCTTGTTTCTACTCTCATTGTACATTTCAACAGCTCCACTGACCATATAGGAGCACTTTGTAGATCTACAGTTACAGACTGTAGTCCATCAGTTTCTCTGCATACTTTGTTACCCTGTTCTTTAACGGTCAGGACCCCCACAGAGGAGGTATTATTTGGCTGGTGGGTCATTCTTAGCACTGCAGTGACACTGATGTGGTGGTGGCGTGTTAATGTGGGTTACGCTGGTGCGAGTGGATCAGACACAGTAGGAGGCTAACAAAGTATGCAGAGAAACAGATGGACTTGAGTCTGTAACTGTCTGTAAATGTAGAAACAAGGAGAAGTTCCTGATAAAGTGCTTGGTGAATGCATGTATGAACCTCTATGTAATAATAATGTTTATGTATTGTTCAAATAATTATTATCACAACCTGCATTTGACAAGGAGTTTTAAACTTTTACATATGACTGTACAAGGGCAAACATAGACTTTTGTTATACATAATTTCTTTAACATCAGTTTCACTCTTACTGTAAATCAGGTCTGTTAAAAGAGATGGGTCAAACCTGCCAAACAAAATTCTCCACAGCCTGTTATCAGACCAAAAAAGGCTAGTGGTTCTCTCTAGAACTTGAGGATAAAGAAAATGTGACAGGTCAAACTCCACTGTAGCGGTCAGTTTTACTTACCCTAGTGAAACTAATGAAGCTTTAATTGAAATATGCGCGTGTTACATATTTATGATACATATGTGACATTATTATTACATATTAATAAAGATAGCTGCTGTCAGAACAAAGCCTTGGATCTCCATTTTTTCACCAAATTTGACAATGGCAGTTAACACTTTCATTGCCGGAAAATTTCATGATGAGCAGAATGACGGAAATGGTCTGAAATGAATGATGCATATGGGGCATATTATTATTTTTATTATTATAATTAGTATTTTTACTGCATATAGGTGCTTACACATGTATAATATATATGGGGCATATTACATGTTGATACTACTTCCACAAGTGCCCACACAGTCATTGATTATTTGAAGCGCTGGTGTGTTCCTGATTTCCATATTTTCTCTCTCTGTAGGTGAAGCTGCGCTGTCAGAAGGGAATCCCCCCGTCGCTCAGAGGGCGTGTCTGGCTCTATCTCTGTGGAGGGAAGGTCAAAAAGGAGCAGAACAAGGACAGGTTTCAGGTGAGGATAACGCTCTGACTATCACTTCAGTCTCGAACACACACATGAACCTTTTTGGAAACGTATTACTTAAAACTGACCAAACACACACCAGCAGACTTTTTAGAAAATATGTGTAAAAATGTATCAGTGCATCATGATACATTGATCTAGGATGATGATTTAACTGCTTCAGTGTTCTGTGTACATAGTTTACATTCACAGGAGTTTATTCGTGTTATTTTTATAATAATTCTGTCTGTCTTTCTTAGGATTTGGACCGCCAGCCTGGAGATCCTAAATGGGTGGATGTGATTGAGAAGGATCTCCACAGGCAGTTTCCTTTCCATGAGATGTTTGTGGCTCGAGGAGGCCACGGGTGAACTTTCATGCTCTCTGAATATAAAAGATTAGTTTAAAGCAATAAATCAGATGACCCCAAATGTACTCCAAATGTAGTCAATCAGCAGTGACATGTTTGGTGTCTGAAGTTTGCTTCTTTAGTTGTGCACTGGAGCTGCGAGGCTAGTGTAGCTAACAAGTAATGGACGTTTATACCCACCAATCAGCAAGGTGTTAGCTGAATGCCTAATCAGGGCTCATTATCGCACTTTCACGTCAAACTGTCTGCATGTGCATGACGTTTTGTAACGCGCTCGCGCATGTGTGTGTGTGTGTACAGGCAGCAGGATCTGTTCCGGGTGCTGAAGGCCTACACGCTGTACAGACCAGAGGAGGGGTACTGTCAGGCTCAGGCTCCGATAGCTGCAGTGCTGCTCATGCACATGCCTGCTGAGGTCAGTGAACCTTAATGAACACAAACTCCATTATCTCTGCAGTGTCTGGATCTGATACCACATCACTGTAAAACTTCACTGCAGACTTACTCTAGTTGATTACATGCACCACATGGTCAGTAGTGTAGAAATGCTTCCTGTCTGTCTGTCTGTCTATCTATCTATCTATCTGTCTATCTATCTGTCTGTTTATCTGTCTTTGTCCATCTGTCTATCTATCTGTCTGTCTGCCTGCTGTCTGTCTGTCTGCCTGTCTGCATGTGTACAGTGAGCTCAATGGTCAATCGATCTGTCTGACTGTGTTGATTGAGCTTAATGAGCTTTAATGAGTCAGGTGTGATCAACTTATCTTAGCAACCAGTCCACAGAGTGAATCAGCGTTGTTTAAGCAGTGCTTGTTCTTCTACAAACGGTTTGTTTTTGTTTGTTTGCTGATATCTTTTTGTTTGCTTTCTTCAGGAAGCGTTCTGGAGTCTGGTGCAGATTTGTGAGAAATATCTGCCTGGATATTATAGCGCAGGCCTGGTGAGATTAACACTATATATATATTCTCTCTCTCTCTCTCTCTCTCTCTCTCTCTCTCTCTATCTATCTCTCTCTCTCTCTCTCTTTTTCACAGGGCATGTGAGTTCTCTCTCTCATTCCCACTCTCATAGACACGTGCACACACAGCAGGCTGTTCTGCTGATGTAGCTGAGTGTAGGGTTCAAAGGTTGCTGGTCCCGTGCTGGTCAACAGAGTGGAGCTGTTCATTAACAAATCTTCAGCTGTTACACACCTGTCTTAATTAGCAAACAGATAAAACCCTTCCACTGAAATCAACACCACCACCCTTTATATGGGATACATAACTTCACGTCCTGACATTGTATAAAAGTGTGTGTGTGTGTGTGTGTGTGTGTGTGTGTACAGGAGGCAATTCAGCTGGATGGAGAGATTCTTTTTGCTTTGCTGAAGCGTGTCTCCTCTGTTGCTCATCGGCACCTGAAGAAGCACAAGATCGACCCCATCCTGTACATGACCGAGTGGTTTATGTGTGTGTTCTCCCGGACGCTCCCTTGGGCCTCGGTGCTGCGCGTCTGGGACATGTTCTTCTGCGAGGGTGTGGCTCACACACAATCAGTATACTTCAGTGCACGCACAGAGTCTGAATAATTCCCACATGGTCAGCACCTCTCACTCTCCCCTGTGTTGCTCTTCACCCTACGCTCTTGGGCTGGTCTTTTCACCTCAACCACAAACCACGAAAACATCCGCTCAGAGATCTTTGACACCTAATGTTTGCCAGCGGTGCTACGTTCGTCTTATGCTTTAACTGTGTTTCCATCTATTCAGTTGGATGTGTTTCAAGTTCATGAGTAGCAATGGGCGTTATGGCAAATTTACAATATCTCATTTTTTTCATTGTACACAATATGTCACAATATTAACCTTTTCCAGACATCTTATAAAAATAGTAATATGAGTACTGTGAGAGCTAGTTATAGCTCGCAGACACAGTTTAACTTCCTTTGTTATCTTCTTCATGGTGTGGCATCTGCTGCCTCTTGACACTTAAACCAGCACAGAAGAGACACATGACTGAATTCATGCAAATTGTCACTGTCCAACATCATTTGTTGAATGGAATAGAAATAGAAAAGTTCAGTTTATTAAAGGAGATGCCACTAATTGCCCCGAGTTTTTCCATTAATCACTTTTTGAGATGCAGTCATTCAGAGTGGTTTGGTGTGAAGTGGTTGATTGTAGAGACTCAGATTTCTTTACAGTGGTGGCAATGGGAACCAGGGGTCACCATGACTACAACATAGATATAGACATTTTATTTACTATCCAAAGCCACCAGTGAACCTACACGTATCTTCTGAGTTTTATATGGAATGTTGACAGTGAATGTTGACAGGTAATAATGAATGGATTATTTTGCCCATTCAACATGAAAGGATTTAAAAAATATGTTTCAGGCCATATTTTGCGAACTATCATAAAACAGTTTCTCAGACATCAGGCAGCGTATGCATGTAATAGCTTTCTGTGGGGAATCTTTTAGAGGTGGACGTCTGGTTCCTATCACCAGCACTGTGAACTATTCTGACTCTGAAGTTTCTCTAGAACTGAGCATTTCACACCAAACCACTCTGAATGACTCGGTTTACATCTTAACCATTTAATTATGGAGATGGATAGAATTTTCCTTTAACTTGCATTAAAAGTTAAGAGTGTGAGCTTTTTTTAGGAGTAAAAATCATCTTCCGTGTGGGGCTGGTGCTGCTGAAGTGCATGCTGGGATCTCAGGAGAAGCTGAAGGCGTGTCAGGGTCAGTACGAGACGATGGAGCGGCTTCGGGCCATAGAGCTGCGCTACATGCAGGAAGTCTTCCTCATTAGAGAGGTAACACTCACAGGTTCTTTCTGTTCCTCTCAGTGAAAATGGGACGAGTCCCTGCAGATCACTGGTTTTCTCCTCACAGTACACAATGTGGAACACTGGCGAAAAAACTGAGTTTGTCTCCTCCTACTGGACACTATCTGTTACTGCAGGACGAATAAAGCAAACTCTAAATCCTGCATGTTATATTCTGTAGTATTTGTTTCTGTGTATGCTGTTTTTATGTCTGCTTATGTAAGCATCATAAAACTGCACCTGTATATGAAGTTTACTGGATTACATAATTTTACTGCAGTTCACATGACAGAGTAATTTATTAACCTACTCTTGTCAGTCATTAAAGGAGGATCTCTGATTATTAAAAGAAAGCAGTAGACCTTGACCCCACAAACTAAACTCTCTCTCTCTTGCTTTCTTTAAATGTTTCCAGTAATATAAAAGCAATATTACGGCAGATAAATATCTAAAAATATTATGATATACTAATTTGAGCCACTTTGCGAATGTACAACAAATACGTATTGAAGAATTGTTTATTATTGCATTTAAATAACCAAAAAATATAAATATGAAAAGTGATCCCAAACTTTTGAATGCTTGTGCGAATAGGAGAAGACTAAAAAATGGAAATAGATTGATCAAAAATAAGTTATTTAAGATTATATGATAAAGATTTTTTTTTTAACATTAATAAGAATAATAAACAGATGCTTTCTCTTTCAAGACTTCTATATTACTTTTATGACTGGAGTGCTCTGTTTCGGGTAGGAGTGTAGATCTGTCTCCCTCTCTCTCCTCCAGATTATGGAGCTGCCGATCTCTGAGCGGGACATTGAGAAGGAGCACCTCGCTCAGCTGCGTTTGTGGAAGGAGTCAAGAGGAGAGCTGCACTGTAAATCTCCTCCCAGAATGCACGGCGCTCGCGCTATCATGGCTGCTGAACCTCCCAGCAAGCAGGACCTGCGGCAGAAACCCACCATCACTGTGGACATCCTCCCAAACTCCAAAAACACTGAGGAGGAGAGGGACAAGAAGAAGAAAAAAGGCAAGAAAAACATCACCTCTCCGCCTGAGACAGCCAATCAGCATTCGTCATCACAGGACGACCTTTTACCCGGCCAACCACAGACGCTGCTGAAGGACACGCCCCTCCAGGGGTCCAATCAGAGTCTGAGTAGTGCAGAACATGACACATACCTGTAGAGAGGCAAAACATTAAGACAGAGAAAGAGAGAGGCTGAATCCCCAAAGCCTCCTAGTGGGCATATAGTGCACTACTTAGGTCAAAGAGCATTATTTTCTACTAGGACTGCATGATACAGACAAAATCCTATTATTGTTATTATATTGCTATATATTAAGGGGAATTCCACTAATTTTTCAAATTCAGTGGTTGAGAAAAGTGGTTTGATGTGAAATGGTTCATTGCAGAGAAACTTACCGACTCAGATTTCTTTACGGAACCAGGGGTTGTGATGACCAGTGAACCTTCACGTGTCTTCTGAGTTTTATATGTAATGCTGATGATAGTAAAATAGTGGAAAATCTGAAAAAATAAGCTTTATTTGGGAACTTTCTTTTTAAAATATTTTTATACTGTCATGAAACAATGTCTCAGACATCAGGCAGTGTATCCATAACCATTTAATATAATAACTTTCTGTGAGGGAGCTTTAAGTAGACGTCTGGTTCCTATCACCACCACTGTGAACAATTCTGACTCTGCATTTCACACCAAACCACTTTGAGTTGGTTTACATTTTGACAGTTTAATCAAGCAGACGTTTTAAAGAATTGATGGAAATCCTATTTAAAAATACATTTATCAGTCAATGTTTAGACATGGTTCAAAATGAACCTGGGCTATTTTGACCAAAATAATACTTTTGTTAGGTTGCGTGAATACCTTGATTTATCAAAACGCCCACAGAAACGGTAATTACTCACAAATCAATTTGCTTTTCATTCTTAATTAAAATGACCTGTAATTTAAAACATTTCTACCATTCATCGTGAAATAATAACACAATTTGAAGGGTAGTTGGTGTTTACAAATGATGCAAAATAAATAAAAAGGAAACACATTGATGATTTTATTAAATTAGAGCTTTAAAAGCCCTTAAAGAGCTTCTATTCAAGAATAGTTTGGGCTATATACATAATAATTACGCATATTCTGGGTCATATACTATGGTCAGAATTAGGGATGCACCAATATGGAAACTGGGTGATGCCAATACCCGATTTTTTTCATATATTGATGATATTGATGTTGATACACAAACATTTACAAAACGTAGAAATTGGAACAAGGAGAAATGTAACATATATCTGTAGAAGGTTTAAAAATGCATACAATTAAGATATAAAAATGCAGTCTTCTAAACATTCTGCTACAGTAAATCAGTTTAATAATTCAGAAATTGGTTTGAAATATTGGCCAAATCCACATCTGCCCGATTTTTTTAAGCACAATTTTTTTTGAGACATATTGGTATTACTATATCAATAATATAGTGAAGATCAGCCTGCATCATTTTTACTTCAATAATTAACTTTTGTTAAATTACATAAAACGTTCATCAAAACGACCACACCAACTCACCTGGAACAGTAAAAACACTATGACTCCTTTGCAGTTTTTTGCAGCTTTTGCAGTGTCAGTATTGTAAATGCCAACATCACAATAACGAATAACTAACGACATATTATGCAGCCCTAGTTTCTACACAAAAGTAGTGTTGTATATGTCCAGTAAGATGCCATTTATGATTCAGTCAAAGAGAGAGAGAGAAAGAAAGTGGAGAATCTGGTAGTGCCGCAAATGGGACACAGCCACTGCGTAAACAGCGGCACATCAGATACTTCTAAGCATCGTCCTGACCTGTGAATGTTTACTAACTGACTTTTCTATGCTCTGTTGAGATATGAACCGTTTCATAGTGACTGTGAGGTTGTTGTGATTCAATTTAAATCTAAACTCCTAAGAATACATTCCGTCTATTTGAATTTGAAGGGGAATTCCACCAATTTGTCTAAATTTCTGCCTAATTCAGTTTTTGAGTAAACAGCATCAGCTTTAGGTTTACTGCATGTATCTCTGCACAGTGAATGAATTTGAAAAATAGACCAGAAACATCTTAAAATAATGTTTCAGACATCAAGCTTTCCGTTGATGACCATTCCATGTAATAACTTTCTGGTTCATATCACCGCCACTGTGAACAATTCTGACATCTTAACCATAGAGAATTTTTGAAAATTTGGTGGAATTCCCTTTTAGTAACAGACTCTAAGTGTAGGCATTGTGGTAAAATGAGTTCTGTGCCACAGTTCATCATTAGATTGAATAGGCTTTTAACCAGTGTTCTGTAAAGCTTTTCCAACCTAGTAACAGTTGCTATGAAAGAACACATTTGCAGGCAGAGCCTGGATAGTCAATCATGACTGAAGTGCAGCACAGCTGCCCGCTCTCAGGTGTCTTCATCCTATCTGACTGGACTGCAATTCCCAGAATGCAATGGGAGCAATCAAATGGGAACAGTGGAGTTGCAGTTTTTGTTTATTTTCCACTATGAGGTCTTTCACATCCTCTTACTTAATGAAGGAATGTATATACGTACACACGTTCTTTTTTTTTTTCTCTCATATGAACTGAGGATGACCAAGTGCAGTTCTAGTTATCTCTCTGAAGGAACAGGTCTAAATTTAAAGCATCTCAGATTAAGGTCATCACTGAAACATCACTGTGTGATAGTGAGATCAAAAGGCAGAATCCTTTACTGCATTTTAGCAGGTTGATTTTTATAGAAAGATGCTAATATCTGATATGGATGCTGTTTCTGTTCAGCTTCTTCTGTTTGCAGTAGTTGTAGCGTTCCTGTTTTACATCATTTCCAGTCAGGAGTCAATTGTAAGCGCTTTCTTGGTTGCTGAAATCAAGTATGTTGCTTCTGGAAAGTCTTTTTAGCTTTTAATCCACAGCTTCCCCAGAAAACTACATTTTGAAATTATGATCATTACATGTTCGAATGGATTTCTTGCTAGTGAAGATTGAATTGTTACATTTTAAAATTTGTCTCTTGCGTTTAAAAGTCCCTGTTTTTCATCAAATTAAGATGAATTGAAAGGTATACAGAAATACTAGTATACTAACATTATTACTTGTTCAAATGGAATTTCTGTTATTAAGAAAATGTGCTTTAAAAGCTAAAACACTTTGCAGGCCATAAAACATGAGGCTGATTTTGCTGCATGCAGTTTGGGGTCTTGGCCACTAGAGGCTGCACTTGGGCTGTTTTTGTTCTTTTAGCACCAGAGAGACAATATTTCTGGTTTTAAAAAAGTATAAAGTCATATAATGTTGCTGTCCAAAAAAGACAATCTCCCTCACAATTTTCATTTTATTTTTACATAATTGGACATAGCAGCTGCTTTTTACATTATGTGAAAATTTCAAAATAAATGGGACAAACAAATGCTCTAAAATTGATTGGAATAACATCTCTTTACATTAACTTGTATTAAAAGTGAAGAACGTTTTTGCCTTCTCTTTTAAAGTTACAACACATTTTTTTCTTTTTTGGACAGTGATGAAATAGCAATATGCTTCATAATTGCATATAAAGTGCAGTTGTATAGTTTCCATATCTCACAGGGGCCAATGTTTTCTACCCAAAGACCAAAGACTTTTATTTTGTGTTCTGCTATTACAAATTTACAGTTTACTGCCTAACACAGTCCATTTGATTAGGAATAACACTACAGCAATTGTGTCAGAATTGTAAGAGGCACAGGCAAGACTGAACACACACAGACTTTTTGGCTGTAGCCTATGAAGCTTTTAGTTGTGCCAAAAAACTTGGGATTTATATTCAAGTAAACGAAAACAGAATAATTCAACTACAAATATTTTTTTCACAGTGTCCTGACTTTCAGATTATTAAGATGACGGAGGCCTTTGAGGCCAAACTGCAGCATAAACATCAGCCCAGTTCATTCCTGTTGTATGTGCAGCATGAATGATGACAATAAGACTTGATCCTTATCAATCAAACACACATGGGATGAGTGCGTGAAAATATGTGGGACCTTTTTTGTTATGAAAATGAATAGCTCATTTTGGAGACAATCCATCAGCTTCATAATGTGATGTAGCTGTGATGAGTCATAAACAAGTGGGAGAATGTTTTCACGCATTATAAGTTACGTTCTTCAACCTAATGTTTATTTAACACTTCTGTAGCATACAAATAATTACTACAGTCAATTCCCTGTGATTAGTGAAACACACCTACAGTTCTGTGCAAATTCAGAGACCATCATTTATTTATTTTTCTTAAAACAGCCTGTAAATATTTTTGTTATTACTAACTTATTAATTAAATTACTATTTAAGTTATTCATTCATTTATTGTCAGTGTCAGTGTTTAGTGTGTCTCTGTACCTTTATTACAGCTTCCATTCTTTTCAGGAGACTCACTTTCAGTTTCTCACAGAAATCTGCAGACACACCTCCCAAGTTCAGTCTTAGGAGTTGGTTTATCATTTTCTGAAGTAATCAAACACATTCAGTGTGTTGAGGTCTGGACTCTGAGGTGGTCAGTCCATTGTTCAGCTTCTTTGTTTGATGTGTCTGTCTCCTTTTCTCAGTGAGGCTTCTTGACAGCTACACATCCTTTCAGACCCATAGCGCTGAGTTGTCTTCTCACAGTGGAAGGATGGACAGAAACACCTGTGGATGTTTTCAGATCTGAAGCAGCTTGATTTTCTCCTCTCTCTCAAAGATGAAAACTTTAAGTGCTGTTTACCTGATGGGGACAGTTTTGGTGTCTACCAGTTCTTCCAGGTGGTTATTAGGAGCCCCATTTTCTCTGTAGCTTTTAATCACTTCTTCACTTTCACTTTTTACTTTCTCCTTTTTACACAAGTGGATTATTTTCTTAGAAATATTATGATTGGAACTTAAATAAGTGAAAGGTTGGTCTCTGACTTTTGCACAGAACTGTATCATAGACATTAGTAGATTGTAGCCCATTGACTTCTATTGTAAGTGCATTTCACTTACTGTGTGCCTGAATGCACGTCAAAATTATATATCTGTGGTAATAGACTGTGCTGTCTGTTGTGGTAAATGGACATTTTGTTGAAGAAAGCTGGAATATTCCTTTAATGAGCTCTCAGACATTGACAAGCTAATCCAGACATGTGCTCATCTCGAGTAGCAAATGCAGTACATGTGTTTCTCTGTTGTACTAATTCTTTTTTGTCTTGTATTTGTTTTGCATTCTAATGTGAACGAGTCTTAAGCTACATTGTATTTGTTATGCAGTATAAATATGTTCTGTTTGGCTGAATTGATCTGTTGAGTTACAGAGATGTCATTTGCACTTTGCTTTAATAATTAGACTTAATTTGCTGACGCTGAA